AATAGGCTGGATAGAGTATCATGCCATTCAAACGAACAAACAGTTATGACTAAGTGAGATGTTGACAGATGAAGCGTTGTAGTCTAGTTCAGGGGTGAAGCTGGTGTCGTTACTTCTCGGGGTTCAAGAGCAGGCTGCTGGGGTTTTGTCCCCTCTGAGGTTTCCGTAAAGCCATGGGTAGTTGGACCTACCTCCCAGAGAATAACTGAGTCAGCAGACGGGAGGATTTGCCAACTGCCTGCAACGCTCACTCAAGGCAGGACTACTGAGCCACGTTCTATTTCCACACTGGTCAAGTGAGTGGCCTTGCCATCGCCGGCCAGACCATGGCATGAGAGCTGTTGCTTGAGCAGCCGTGGAACAGCGGCTGGGACCTCCTGGTTAGCTTCGCCAGGGGGAGGAGAATCAAGATCATCAGCCCAGGCTGATGCCCATGAAGGGGAGATGAGACATGCCACACCATCCAACCTTTCCACCAACTCTGACACCAGGCAGCCTTCCCACGGCATTCTCTGCTTCTTTGCTGGGTTCAATACTTCGCTGCAGTGGCCACACACAGCTCACAGACTGTGCTCACTATTAGGGGGTGCCGTGGCCTGCACCAAATGCTGTGTCCCCCCATCCAGTGATGGCGCCCTCCTGATGGCGTGGCAGTGTGAGCGAGTGGCACAGTGGACCACAACGTTTCACTGGCTGCTTCTGAGCAGCAGCTCCCCAGGCCTTGCTCCCTGGTCTGAGTCCGGAAGCTCTGCTGAACCCTGCCCACCTTGGGGGACCCTGCAGGCATTTGAAGTGACAGGTTACGAGTCGAGATCAGGAACGACTCAGGATACAGGTCTTCGATCAGGACAGCTCCTTGGCTGTGCCGCCAGGCAGGCAGGCCGCTCCCGCAGCCCCTGGGCCTGGGCTCTGTCCTACCCAGGCAGGTGTTACAAAGCCGTTAGCTCTGTCAGTAAGGCCCCCCACTCCGCCAGCAAGCCTCCTGGACCCTGGGCCCAAAGGACACGCATGCTCCACTCCTGGATCTTCTTTCTTGATGGTCGTGAGGCTCCCTGACCCATTGACTCATTTTAAGCCCAGTGGGATGGCAGAACTGA